CCTCCCACCATCCCACCATCACCTCCCACCGTCCCACCATCACCTCCCACCATCCCATCATCACCTCCCACCATCCCATCCCATCATCACCTCCCACCGTCCCACCATCACCTCCCACCATCCCATCATCATCTTCCATCGTCCCATTCCAACCCAACACCTCCCACCGTCCCAGCTGGATCCAATCCCAAAGTCCAGCCTGGCCTTGGGTGCTCCCAGGGATCCACCCCAGGAAATCTGGGAATTCCTTGCCAAGATCCCAGCCCAATCTCCCCTTTCCCACTGGAAGCCATTCCCTGGTTCCTGGCCCTGCAGCCCTTTCCCAAATTCCGGCTGTCCTGGAGCTCCTGCAGGGACTCTGAGATTCCCTGGATTTCTCCCTTCTCCAGGGGAGCATTCCCAGCTCTCCCAGAGCAGAGGGGCTCCCAGCTTTTTGTTGGAAAGGACCTTAAATCCCAGCAATTCCCACCCCATCCGTGGGCAGGGACAGCTCCCACCATCCCAATGGATCCAAATCCATCCCAGCCCGGCCTTGGACATTCCCAGGGATGGAGATTCCACAGGGAATTCCCGTGCCGGGATCCCCACCTGGGATCTCGTGCAGGAACTCGTGGGAGGAGCGGGACAGGATCCGGACCCCGTCCAGCTCCGGCACCAGGTGCGAATCCTCATCCAGGACAAAGCTGGGATCCGGCTAAGGAGCCATGGCAGCGCCCAGCGAGGGAAATCCCGGGAATGGGGAAGGGCTGGGACACGGGGAAGGGTCTGGGAACATCCCTGGGGACAGGGAAAGGAGCTGGGAGCATCCCTGGGGACAGGGAATTCCTGGGATCACCCCTGGGGACAGGGAAAGGACCTTGGAGCATCTCTGGGGACAGGGAATTCCTGGGAGGATCCCTGGGGACAGGGAATTCCTGGGAGGATCCCTGGGGACAGGGAATTCCTGGGAGGATCCCTGGGGACAGGGAATTCCTGGGATGTTCCCTGGGGACAGGGAATTCCTGGGATGATCCCCGGGGGTGGCAGCAGCGCCAGGAGCGCTCCCCGCTCCCGAAGGATACCGGATGCTCTCCGAGGAATTTCCCACCACCATCAGCTGCCGCTCCCAGGCCAGCACCACGGCACGGTGCCGGCTCCGGGGCCGCGTGCACCTGCCGAGACAAACCCCTGGCACCCCAAATCCTGGGAATCCCAAATCCTGGGATCCCCCAATCCTGGGAATCCCAAATCCCTGGGATCCCCCAAATCCTGGAATCCCAAATCCCTGAGATCCCCAAATTCCTGGGATCCCACAACCCTGGGATCCCCCAAATCCCTTAACCCCCAATCCCTGGGATCCCCCAAGAGAACCCCCAAATCCCTGGGATCCCCTGAGGGAATCCCCAAATCCTGGGATCCCAAATCCCTGGGATCCCCCAAAACCCTTAACCCCCAATCCCTGGGATCCCCAAATCCCTGGGATCCCCCAAATCCCTGGATCCCAAATTCCTGGGATCCCCTGAGGGAACCCCCAGCTCACCAAACCATCTGCTTGGGAGGGGAGCGGATGCCGGTGTTGAAGTCAGAGAATTTCTCCTGTGGGAGAGGAGAGGGGTTTGAGATACACCTGAAAAGGTCTGGGATACACCTGGAGGGGATCAGATACACCTGGAGGGGATCAGATACACCTGGAGGGGTCTGGGATACACCTGGAAAGGTCGGGGATACACCTGGAGGGGTTTGAGATACACCTGGAGGGGTCTGGGATACACCTGGAGGGGATCAGATACACCTGGAGGGGTCTGGGATACACCTGGAGGGGTGTGGGATACACCTGGAGGGGTTTGGGATACACCTGGAGGGGTCTGGGATACACCTGGAGGGGTCTGGGATACACCTGGAGAGGTTTGGGATACACCTGGAGGGGTCTGGGATACACCTGGAGGGGATCAGATACACCTGGAGGGGTCTGGGATACACCTGGAGGGGTCTGGGATACACCTGGAGGGGTTTGGGATACACCTGGAGGGGTTTGGGATACACCTGGAGGGGATCAGATACACCTGGAGGGGATCAGATACACCTGGAGGGGTGTGGGATACACCTGGAGGGGTCTGGGATACACCTGGAGGGGTCTGGGATACACCTGGAGGGGATCAGATACACCTGGAGGGGTCTGGGATACACCTGGAGGGGATCAGATACACCTGGAGGGGTTTGGGATACACCTGGAGGGGTCTGGGATACACCTGGAGGGGTCTGGGATACACCTGGAGGGGTTTGGGATACACCTGGAGGGGTCTGGGAGATTCCAGGTGTGGCTCTGGAAGGGATCAGAGCTCTGGGAAAGGTGGGAAATATTCCAGTGTCAGGGAAAAGGAACAGGAAAGGGGAAAAAGGGGAAAAAAAAGGGGAAAAAAGGGGAAAAAAGGGGAAAAAAAGGAAAAGGAAAAGGAAAAGGAAAAGGAAAAGGAAAAGGAAAAGGAAAAGGAAAAGGAAAAGGAAAAGGAAAAGGAAAAGGAAAAGGAAAAGGAAAAGGAAAAGAGTTGGGTTTGGGAGAGAGAGAAAGCACCAGCAGCAGCTCTGGGATGGGGGGTGGTCTGACCCCCCCAGGGACCCCCCAGAGACCCCCCAGGGA